ACAGGGAGCTGACCCCCGTGACCCCGACGTGATAAGGCGCCCGGCGGGGAACCCCCCGCGGTAACTAAAGTTCCACTGCCGGTGCGCCGCGTGTGAAGCACACATCCAGAGTTGGATATCGAGATTCTAGATCTGGAAGTAGATGAAGCAGCTGTCTCTCACACACACAACGAAGCACTAACCGAAACGGAAGTAGTCCCCAGTAAAATATGAAATGGCTAATGGCAAAGTGAAAACGCATGAGAGCTTCGATTTACAGGAAAAACCGTCAATCTTGAAAAAACAAAAGGTAATTTCTGCAACTTCGAAACATATTTTTGGAGATTTTTTGGGCACCCACGTAAAAAATGTATACTGACCCCACAAACGAGCTTAGCTCCATTATAATAAGATGATGATTATTATTATTACTATCATCATTATTATTAGTTTTTTAAACATATTTTAAAATAATTTTTGTCGTTAAAAACTGGAGAAAAAAATGTTACTACTTATAACTATTACTACTACCCATCATCATCATCCAGTGCCAGATCTGCGACAGACATCGGCGATCATGGTTCTCCATTCATTCCTTTGCTCGGATGCTCTCAAAAAAGCTACGTTTCCCTGATCTTTCCCTGTCACCCATTTGTTTAGGTTCCATAAGTATGTTGTTCTGGGCCTACCCCTGCCTCGTTTGCCTTCAATTTTGCCAGTGAGAGCTAGATGTTCAAGACCCTTAAATGTCTATTCAGATGTTCCCAAAACTGCATTTGTCGTTTCCTGATTGTTTTTAACATTGAGCGTCCCACGTGGGCTTCATCAAGCACTACCTCATTAAACTCATTTGATTTCTTTTCCTTCTACTTCTACGATACTCTTAGTCTTAGCAGTCTCCTAAGAAACCACATTACTTCTACGATACTCTTAGCAATCTCCTAAGAAACCACATTTCTGTAGCTTCTATTTTATTTTCACTGTCCTTGGTGATTGTCCAGCATTACTACTACATGTACTACTATAATATTAATATTATTATTATTGATATTAAAATTCTTATTTTTAACATATCCAATGATACCATTATTATTATTTTTACTATTATTACTACAATTATTTTTATTATTTCTATTTCTATTACTATATTATTATTACCCCCCCCCCTCCACATATACAACAACACAAAACCAGGGTACATGAACACACATGACATATATATATATATATACAACACAAAACCAGGGTACATGAACACACATGATACAACAACACAAAACCAGGGTACATGAACACACATGATATATATACAACAACACAAAACCAGGGTACATGAACACACATGACATATATATATACAACACAAAACCAGGGTACATGAACACACATGACATATATATATACAACACAAAACCAGGGTACATGAACACACATGACATATATATATATATATACAACACAAAACCAGGGTACATGAACACACATGATACAACAACACAAAACCAGGGTACATGAACACACATGATATATATACAACACAAAACCAGGGTACATGAACACACATGACATATATATATACAACACAAAACCAGGGTACATGAACACACATGACATATATATATACAACACAAAACCAGGGTACATGAACACACATGACATATATATATACAACACAAAACCAGGGTACATGAACACACATGACATATATATATACAACACAAAACCAGGGTACATGAACACACATGACCTACGACAACAAAAAACAATTGACAAACCAACGGCACATTCCACTGAACTCAGTCAAAGGCGGCGTCGTTTTTTTTATCACATCAATGTTATTTATTAGAATATATACATGTCTCACCTTAGCAAGAGTTGATAATATGATTCTCTTAATAAACAAAATCAAAAGTTTATGATGGTAGACGGCTACACTGTGTGTCTAGCAACCAAAGTTAGAATGAAACATGGAAGGAAAAGACAAACCCATTATATCTATTATATAGCTATAGATCTTCCAATCAATTGTAATCAACCAAATCAGAATGCATCAGAACGGTCATGAACTCGGTAAATAACTCAAACTACACTCACAGAATATTGACAACATAACAAAACAATACTGCACCAGAAATAAACAACCAAGTGGTGTCCATCGCTGACCACTCGTGGTTCGGTCAACAGAAGGGCGTTGTCAGCATCACCCCAGCCACCCAGCCAAACCACACAAGCAATCACAGATGCGATACAACCTCAAACAAAAACAGTAACAGTACTGGGGGAAAAAAAAGATTAACAGTACTGGAAAAAATAATTGAAAAACAGAACTGTAAAAAAACCAAAACAACCTAGAAAGTAATAGAAGTAGAAGTGGTGGGTCACTCTGCTCTGAGCGACATTGTCCCATAAAGTGACAGTTCTCATTCATAAACAATCCCATGGTCCCATCAACTGACAGTTCTCGTACACATTGTCCCATCAACTGACAGTTCTCATACACATTGTCCCATCAACTGACGGTTCTCGTACACATTGTCCCATCAACTGACAGTTCTCAAGAAACAATACCATCGTCCCATCAACTGACAGTTCTCAAGAAACAATACCATCGTCCCATCAACTGACAGTTCTCAAGAAACAATACCATCGTCCCATCAACTGACAGTTCTCAAGAAACAATACCATCGTCCCATCAACTGACAGTTCTCAAGAAACAATACCATCGTCCCATCAACTGACAGTTCTCAAGAAACAATACCATCGTCCCATCAACTGACAGTTCTCAAGAAACAATACCATCGTCCCATCAACTGACAGTTCTCAAGAAACAATACCATCGTCCCATCAACTGACAGTTCTCAAGAAACAATACCATCGTCCCATCAACTGACAGTTCTCAAGAAACAATACCATCGTCCCATCAACTGACAGGGGAAAGCAGCTACAGCAGATGGTACATCTCGAAGCACACGAGACAGGAGTGGGAACTGGGTCAAACGAGGGGACACCACACAGGACCACAGGATACAGGGAGACGACACAGGACCACAGGATACAGGGACACGACACAGGACACAGGATACAGGGAGACGACAAAGGACACAGGATACAGGGACACGACACAGGACCACAGGATACAGGGACACGACATGTCACACAGGACCACAGGATACAGGGAGACGACACAGGACCACAGGATACAGGGACACGACACAGGACCACAGGATACAGGGACACGACACAGGACCACAGGATACAGGGACACGACATGTCACACAGGACCACAGGATACAGGGACACGACACAGGACCACAGGATACAGGGAGATGACATGTCACACAGGACCACAGGATACAGGGAGACGACATGTCACACAGGACCACAGGATACAGAGGGACGACATGTCACACAGGACCACAGGATACAGGGAGACGACATGTTACACAGGACCACAGGATATAGGGACACGACATGTCGCACAGGACCACAGGATACAGAAAGACGACACAGGACCACAGGATACAGGGAGACGACATGTCACACAGGACATAGGATACAGGGAGACGACACAGGACCACAGGATACAGGGAGACGACATGTCACACAGGACCACAGGATACAGGGAGACGACATGTCACACAGGACCACAGGATACAGGGAGACGACATGTCACACAGGACCACAGGATACAGGGACACGACATGTCGCACAGGACACAGGATACAGGGACACGACATGTCACACAGGACCACAGGATACAGGGACACGACATGTCACACAGGACACAGGATACATCAGGTACACAGGGCACAAGTCAGCTAGAGAACGACATGGCTGCACACACCGCTAGAGAACGACATGACTGCACACACAGGTAGAGAACGACATGACTGCACACACAGGTAGAGAACGACATGACTGCACACATAGCTAGAGAACGACATGACTGCACACACAGCTAGAGAACGACATGACTGCACACACAGCTAGAGAACGACATGACAGCACACACAGGTAGAGAACGACATGACTGCACACACAGGTAGAGAATGACATGACTGCACACACAGCTAGAGAACGACATGACTGCACACACAGGAACCAAACAATGCTGGACACTGAAGCAACCAGCCATCATGACTGGGCTCAAACTTTTCCTTGTAAGTCTACAATTGTGACAAACACTTTCTGACAGGACAAAACCTGACAGTTCTAGCTGAGAGCCCGTGACACTCACTGTCAAATCTGTGGACAATGTGACACTCACTGTCAAATCTGTGGACAATGTGACACTGACTGTCAAATCTGTGGACAATGTGACACTCACTGTCAAATCTGTGGACAATGTGACACTCACTGTCAAATCTGTGGACAATGTGACACTGACTGTCAAATCTGTGGACAATGTGACACTCACTGTCAAATCTGTGGACAATGTGACACTGACTGTCAAATCTGTGGACAATGTGACACTGACTGTCAAATCTGTGGACAATGTGACACTCACTGTCAAATCTGTGGACAATGTGACACTGACTGTCAAATCTGTGGACAAACCCTGACAGGACAACTGCTCCATCGCTCACTTCAGGCCTCCAGTCTCGGTACCAACAACCCCACCCAGGACCACAAAGATGAACTAAGCAAAAAGCAACAGCAACAACAAACCCTCCAACTGATGCCGGGAAAAGATGTGAGTCATGTTGTGCTCCGCTGACCACCGGCCACTGGCTCCTCCGCCAAAGGTCAAGGTCAGAGAATCTACCACTAGTGACACAACCTGGTTCTACGACAGGCACACGCAGAGAGTGGTCTACACACAGCGCTACACACAGCGCAGTCTACACACAGCGCTACACACATCACAGTCTACACATAGCGCTACACACAGCGCAGTCTACACACAGCGCTACACACATCACAGTCTACACATAGCGCTACACACATCACAGTCTACACACAGCGCTACACACAGCGCAGTCTACACACAGCGCTACACACATCACAGTCTACACACAGCGCTACACACAGCGCAGTCTACACACAGAGCTACACACATCACTGTCTACACACCACTCTGTTCTGGCCACACCCAACACAGTACACAGTACACAGTACACAGTAGCACTTTGAGGAAAAAAGCGTAAGAAGAAAAATCTACATCCATTGCAAATAAATTGTGGTGGTGGTGGTGGTGTATTGAGCAGGATGCTCTAAAAATAAAAACTTGGGATTACACTGCCCCACACAGACAACAAGACTCCAGTAAGACAAAACTCTAAAGACAGACAAAACACAAGACGCCAGACAGACAAAACACAAGACTACAGTAAGACAAAAGACAAGACTCCACAAGACAGCCAAAACACAAGACTCCACAAGACAGACAAAAGACAAGACTCCACAAGACAGCCAAAACACAAGACTCCACAAGACAGACAAAACACAAGACTCCACAAGACAGACAAAACACAAGACTCCACAAGACAGACAAAACACAAGACTCCACAAGACAGACAAAACACAAGACTCCACAAGACAGCCAAAACACAAGACTCCACAAGACAGCCACTACCAGCAGACCACAGCCATGTCTCCCATCACGGGCCATGTCTCCCATCACGGGCCACACACGCACAAAAGGCAACACATACAAGTTTGCCGCTGGGACTATAAATAGCGCGTGAGAGAAAAGGAAAGCAACATTAGTCATGTGACCAAGCATGTGGTGAACGAAGCCACGGAAACAAAAAAACCCAAACCAACCAAACAAAACAAGCCAACCAATTCCTGACCAGTCAGCAAGCAAGCCAGACTAAATCCAGAAACACCTTCCCCAAACCATGGAGAGCAAGACAAGAAGTGAAAGAGTGACACACAATGTACTCACAGGGACACACAATGTACTCACAGTGACACACCATGTACTCACAGTGACACACAATGTACTCACAGTGACACACAATGTACTCACAGTGACACACCATGTACTCACAGGGACACACAATGTACTCACAGGGACACACAATGTACTCACAGTGACACACAATGTACTCACAGGGACACACAATGTACTCACAGGGACACACAGGAACACACCATGTACTCACAGTGACACACACACAATGTACTCACAGTGACACACACACAATGTACTCACAGTGACACACACACAATGTATTCACAGTGACACACACACAATGTACTCACAGGGACACACAATGTACTCACAGGGACACACAGGAACACACCATGTACTCACAGTGACACACACACAATGTACTCACAGTGACACACACACAATGTACTCACAGTGACACACACACAATGTATTCACAGTGACACACACACAATGTACTCACAGGGACACACAATGTACTCACAGGGACACACCGTGTACTAAAGTACTATGTACACATCACAGTCACAGAGGTCAGCCACAGTCACAGAGGTCAGCCACAGTCACAAAGGTCACCCACAGTCACTGATGTCACCCACAGTCACAAAGGTCACCCACAGTCACAGGGGTCACCCACAGTCACAGACACAAGGACAACACACATAATTGCTACAATTCTTCCTTCTGCCTGTGCACCTCTCTTCCCATTGTCAGAGGTTGATGTGGAAAGTAACGTAGGTCTATAGACTCTGACAATATCACCAGTGTCGAGAGCTGAGATGGAAAGTAACGTAAATCTATAGACTCCGACAATATCACCAGTGCCGAAAGCTGAGGTGGAAAGTAACGTAGTCTATATACTCACACAAGTAACGTAGTCTATAGACTCACACAAGTAACGTAGTCTATAGACTCACACAAGTGACGTAGTCTATATACTCACACAAGTAACGTAGATCTATAGACTCCCACAAGTAACGTATCCATATACTCACACAAGTAACGTAGATCTATAGACTCCCACAAGTAACGCATCCATATACTCACACAAGTAACGTAGATCTATAGACTCCGACAATATCACCAGTTTCATCACAGAGGGTCACACATCAACACGACTTCCATCATTCGGGAGGTCACTACCCACCCAGCCTGTCAGAGCGCCCCCCCCCCTCTCCCCCAGGCTGAGAGAGAGACAAACATTATATAAAACATTTCTGAAGAAAGACCGGAGGTACTCATCCTACTTAGGAATCAAACTCAGGTCTGGTGTGTGCCACAGCCCACTACACCTGCCTGCAACACCAGACCCCCCCCCCCGTGGACATGTAGCCTGTCACAG